GAGCAGCGGCAGACTCATTAGTGGAGTGCAGGTGTGGGGCATTTCTCTCTCCCAGCTCAACACAACAGGTCATTAATCAGCCGGGAGTGCTACTGTACAGGCAGCATTCCTCATCTGATCATACGGCACAGGTTAAAACATTTAGGGGGAAGTACACACACAGTGTGCTGTTTGAGTGCACGATTGGCTAAAGGAACGATGCACATCAGGAAACTGCAGAATGCAAAGTAAACAGCGTCAGAATGAAGCCTACAGCTGACTTTCACAATCTGCTGTACTTTACTGTAACTGTACAGCATCGCTCCAGACCAGTGCTATTTTACAATAACTGAGATGATAATATTGTTTTTATTTTTATACTTTCCTTTTATCGCTGGGCGATATGGCCAAAATAATTATCACAATAACATTTTTCATTTCAGTTGATCTTTTCTTTTTCTCTATATTTTATTATTTATTATATTTTTTTATATTATATGTTTATTTATTGTCTATTCCCTTTATTATTGGTCCTCTATTTCACTTTATTACCTTAAATTATATGTATGTCTGCACTATGTCTGTACTTTCTGTACTGGAAGCTCCTGTCGAATTCTTGTGTGTGTAAACACACTTGGCAATAAAGTTCTTTCTGATTCTCATATCGATAATTATCATGATCAATTTCAAATCTATATTTCTTACAAGTTTAAAGGAAGATTTTTGCTCCTAAGTGAAAGTTGTAGAAACCAGACCGTTCATTGTGCTTTTAAACTTCTCTTTATGGTCAGAACATGACAAACACTTCACGTTTTTGAATTCTTTACACTTTTCTAGTCATTTTTCCTGAACAAAATAAATATCTTAATAGAGAAATGCATTTCTTAGTTTCTGCATGTTCTAATGAGTGATATATAAATCGTGAAACAGGTTTGTGTTCCTGACTTTGATGACGAGTATCTTCAGCACAGTTTGCAGTGCAGGCAATATTAATATGACTTTTTTTGTCTCTTAGAAATGCACATTTGACAGTTGACAGTATAAGTAGCTTGAGTTTGGATGTAGATGTATATACGGTATATATGGTATACTGAAAAAAAATGACAAGTATATCATAAGGTTTTAAGGCTTTTATTGGCAAAAATAATGAGTCAATATTTACAGTGTTTACCCTTGTTCTTCATAACCTCTGCAATTCGCTCTGGCATGCTGGATATTAGCTTCTGGGCCAAATCCTGACTGATGGTGATCCATTCTTGCCTTATTAGTTCTCAGAGTTGATCACAACTTGTGGGCTTCTGTTTTTCCACTCGCCTTTTGATGACTGACCACAGATTCTCTATGGGATTGAGATCCGGTGAGTTGCCCGGCCACGGATCCAAAATTTCAATGTAATGATCTTCGAGCCACTTTGGTTGAAAAGCAACCCCACACATGGATGGTCTCAGGATGCTTCACTGTTGGCACAACACAGGACTCATGGTAGCGTTCACCTTTTCTTCTCCGAACAATCGATTTTCCAGATGTCCCAAACAGTCGGAAGGGAGCTTCATCAGAGAAAATAACTTTGCACCAGGCTTCTGCTGTCCAATCCCTGTACTTCCCGCAGAATTTCAGTCTGTCCTTGACGTTTTTCTTGGAGAGAAGTGGTTTCTTTGCTGCCCTTCTTGACACCAGGCCGTTGTCCAAAAGTCTTGTCCTCACTGTGTGTGCAGATGCTCTCACACCAACCTGCTGCCATTCCTGAGCAAGCTCTGCACTGCTGGTGACACGATTTCAGCTGACTCCTCAGGAGGAGACGGTCCTGGCGCTTGCTGCACACTCTGGGATGTCCTGAAGACTTCTTCACTGCAGCCGAACCGATCTCCTTGAAGTTCTTGATGATCCTGTAAATGGTTCTTTCAGGTGCAATATTCTTTGTAGCAGTTTTCTTACATGTACTAGTACTCATTCACACTTTCACATGTGCTGCTGATATGATTAGTCTATTAATGTTAGCTGCTCATTTTGTGTCAGGATCAAAAAACAGCAATGCAAATGCACAGAATGTATTGGTCTGGACCGCAGGTATCTGCTGATCTTAAGGGGGTCATTTTAAAAATGACAAAATTACACCTTAGCTTGAAAATCGCAGGCCATTACTGCAGCATTTTGGTTGCATGATGTAAATGGTCTTAACATGAATCTGTACCGTGTTTCTCCAAGTCCTTCAGCGGGTCGACTCCAGGAGACAGGATGAAGAACTTCTCCTCCACGAAATCTCTGAAGGGTGAAATAATCATTGCTTGGCTTTTGAGCTGAAGAGCTCATAATGATCAGACTGTAATAATGATGAACTTCTGTATCATAATAAAGAGCACACAGTCAGGAATGGATCCACGCGGGGCATCTGTGGAAGCTGATTGTTTTAGATGCTGGCCTTTGCTGTCTTACTATATTAACCCCGCCTGCGTCTCCATAAAGGTCAAGCATCACAGACTGTAGAAACACAGAACTACTGACGCTCGGCCGATGGTGACATCTATAAAGCAGGAATGATTGGGAGTATAATGATGATGTAGAAAAAAATAGTGTTGACAGGACTGTCAGAAGATTCTGGGACAGACTGGATGAAGATTTGATTTATGAACAAATGACTCTAATCATTAATGGGATAAAATACTGGTAACAGGTTCTACACAAGACCAGCGGAAGTAGAAAAGGCTCAAAAGACACTTCCGTTTAGCTTTCAGTGGCTCATGTGCAATAGTCCTGTGGAGCGGCAAATGCATTTTTAAAGTACAGATAGGTCACATGTCCCAGAATTAATATGAAGCCATAAAAGCTGCATGCATAATAATTATAAAACAATTAACAAAAAGCTGTTTAAATAATCTTTAGCTGGAGTTTAGGACTTTCCACGCGTATTCGACGAAGTATGACTCGTTTAGCATGCATTATTTCACACGCTGCTGAGTGGACAGTGTGCAATCTTATCAAATGTTACGATGACAGACATGTAAGCCCTGGACAGAATAAAGAGTTCAGATACAACACTGTCAGAGCGCTAATCAAATCCAATACAAAGCGAAGTGTCTTTATGGCCCAGACTGCTGAGTAAACATGAGCATGCCTCTTCATAAAGCAGACTTTCAGAAGTGCTTATGCAGCAGGACTTATGCAGCATTTATCTCCTCTCAGAAGAACAACGGCGTGACATCTGCTCTTTCCTACGGAGACTCGTCCGGGAGAATGATGACGACTCATAAACCCAGAACGCCTTGCTTACGGGAAACGCTATATCTCAAAGGCAGATTTGAGCACATTACGGACTCATGGACTCTTAAATGAGATCAGATTTACATTTCCATCATCGCTGACGGTGTGCTGGAGAACAGCAAGAAACCTCCCGAATATTCTCAGTGAAGGTGAAGCCTGTTTCAGTTCTTTAGAGAGCGATACAAGTTTTCAAGACAGAATAGCAGAGACAGGAATTGCTCGATGTACAGTACTGCACTTCAACAATCAACTAACTGATGCGTTTCTGTATAATTACTAATCATTTGGTCATTTTGAGTTCCTAATATCATCTGTGATGAAGAGAATGCAATAGATACATTCTAATATTATAAGAACAGTTAATAAACAATAAAAATATATAGGGTCACACTTTAGTTTGGGGACCAGTTCTCACTATTAACTACAACTTTGGCCTCGATAAACTCCTAATTTGCTCCTTACTTATAGTTATTAGCAGTTATGTTCAGCTATGGGGTGGATTAAGGGATCTAGAATACGGTCATGCAGAATAAGACATTAATATGTGCTTTTATAAGGACTAATAAACAGCCAATATGCTAGTAATATGCATTCTAGTAAGCAACTAGTTAATAGTGAGAATTGGTCCCTAAAATAAAGTGGTACCATGTAATAATAATAATAATAATAATAGTCAAAATGAGCCTATAGTAAGATACGATGAGGACAGAGAGTTGGTAAAGCAATATCCTCATATGCTTCTGCTCAGGAAAAACACAGAGAGAGGACTTCATTTACTCTTCTGCTTTTCTCTCATTCTCTAATGAGACACTTCTGTAACTAGTTCTGGGGAAGTTCAAGATTTATCTGCATAAATCTGTACACAAAGGAAAAGGCAATTATTTTTTTGATAGCTGTAGATTGTATCTTGTCAGTATGATGACTGAAAACACAAGAAAACCAGTGTACAAATTAACTATACATTCATTATCTCTTCTCCATTTATGTCTGCAAAGCTGTTCTTGTGAATATTAAAGTGAAGAATTCTGTGCTGCAGTTAGAGGGGTAAAAAGTTAAATAAAATAAAAAAATGAAATACAAAATGAGATGAAATAAAATAAAATAATAAAATAAAAATCAAGTTTACGCTGTGTTCAAGTCTTGATAACTTGCGGCTTGATGATTTGAGTCAGCGATGGCTTTGTGACTCTTTTTAAATGATGAACAGATGCTGGTGTCTGTGTGTTTGCTTCTGCTTGCAAACAGGGACGACGTTCTGCCCATTTATTATCTTTGCATTATTTCATGGCACTCTTTATCTCATCACACTCAGTTCAGATCAGGTAAACGATAACGCAGTATAAAACATAATGAAGCATAATAAATGTAGCCGTAGCGATCCCCGTGTGATTAGCGAGTGTAGTAATGCACTGAGCTTCTGAGGCATCAGAGAGAAACACGAGAACTAAATGCTGGAGCACAGGGAAATAAACAGCGGCGCTATCTTCAGAGAGAACTGGTACATGGGGTGGATTTTGTTGAGGTCGTTCATGATGAAGTACGAATGCATATGAGTTTTTGTAATTTGGTTAATTAACATTGTTTCAGTTAATAAAATATACATTGTTTCACAGTAAATTCAAGTTAAACTTGAAATGTTGCTTCTGTGTTTTTATGGCAAAATTCTGGCAACCACAACTGTCATTGATTTACTGTAAGTTACTCTCGGGAAGATGTTACAGGAGCTGAAACACACAGCAGATGCTGAAGACCCATGGACACACCTTGACTTCGATCTCGGCCGCCGTTCGTTTGGTTATCTCCAGGTTCTCCACCAACTCGATGTCTCCAAGGAAGTTTCTGGACGCAGAGGAGAGCCGTGAGAGCAGGTTGTCCTCCAGAGTTTTCAAAGTGATTCTGGAGCCGTTCTGCTGCTTTGTAAGGTTTGACTACATAGTAAAAGACACAGAAAGACATGTGAAGATTCTTGAAAACAAGAGCCACGGAGCATGAGAGGGCATCTGAACAGCTGCAGGGATCAATGTATGCAGCAGACATGAATCTAGTCTTTGCGCGGATTAACAGACATCAAAAACCGCATCCGCCGGCGTGTGATGGGACTGTCGATGCTGACGATCCATTTCCCATTTTGGATAGAGAAACAAACACACACACACACACACACACTCAATCAAACACACACACGCACACACACACACCCTGCTGATCTCAAACACACACACACACACACACACACACACACACACTCAATCAAACACACACACATACACACACGCACACACACACACACCCTGCTGATCTCAAATCAGAGAGCTGTCATCCCCAGCGCGAGTATTGAACCGTCAAGACAAAACTCATCTCTGAAGAGGTTAGTATAATAGCGTCTAACAGTATAAGAGTATAATAGCGTCACTCCGTCAGTGACCACCTTTGACAAATAACAGCTGGGTTCAGAGTCGTGAGCCCTCATCAGAGGAGGAACATCTACCCCGTCCTAATGAGTCACTCATTAATGATTACATTTCCACCGCCATCTTGTGCGTCCAATTAACCCAGACCTGGAAAACAAACAATTAACTAGCAGCCCCACGCTTATTGTGAAGAAACTCAGTACAATCTCAGCCTACTAATTATGCAACCCAAAGTGAGGCTGGTCAGAATAAAGTTCTGCTCATTAGACGAGACTGATCACAGTGACATTTAGCCTACTTCATCTAAAGCTGGCTGCACACTAGATGATTTGCTCTCCCGGCGCGCGTTCTGTTGTACAGTGAAAAACAAAGTATAGAAAAGTATATGGGTGATGTTCTCTGCTTTCATGGCATGTTTTTGGCTGCCAAGTTTCAGCTATAGAAGCACACAACATCCGGTAGGTGAGGCTTGCTCGCTCTCATTGGCTATCGCGGGTATCACGTCAGAGGCATGTTTGATATTTACGATTTGAGTTCGGCGACGCTCAGTTAAATAATCGTAATGACACCACACAATAGAGGATTTTTTGGACAAAAAAATCGCTTGCGACAAGCCGCGAATCGGGCCACCCCCCCGATCGTTCGGGGGTGCAAATCGGCCTTAAAATCCTCTAGTGTGCTTCCAGCCTAACACACATCTCACGCCGTAATAAGATCAAAAACTGCACACGTTTGCTCAGCGCAATTATGTTGGTTCTGCGTGATGTAAAACTCAAGCCAGGGAGCATAAACAACCCCTCTAAAAAACATAGAAATAAGAGAGTGCGTCCCCGCGGTGCACTTGCATTAAATTTTAATTATAAATCCAGCAAACGCTGGCCGAAGAGTTACGATCAGCCGGAGAAGCTCCACCATAAAGCAGCTGCTGAGGGACTGTCACGCTTATCTTACAACTTTCAATATTAATTAAGTGTTCAGCAGCGTTTCCCCATCTTTAGCATCTCAGCTATGAAACACTAATTAATCAAGCTTCATTAAGTAACATTTCAATTTTATAGAATGCACATCTCAAAAGAACCGCATTCACTTCCTGTCAGTTATTCAAAAACACTTCTTGGGTTTGTTGCAGTTTGTTCGCAAATGAAAGCTTCGGCGTCAGACAGACATTTCAGGAAGAGGAAATGAAGTGAAACGAGAAAAAAAAACTGTTGGCAGGATGAAAAAAACGATTGTGGAAACTGAGAAACTTAATGGGGAAGTTCAAGCCTGTGGCACAAACGCCTGCTTGACCATTCCAGCTAATTACGGACAGTAATGTTATGCCAATATACTCATTCTGTACATGTGCATATGTGTTACCAATAGCTGAAGCTCTCGTCGGTCATTAGCAAAACTGCTCAGGGAAAGTGTAATTATATGGGTGAAAGTGCAAAACGTGAAGCACTAATTAGCCTTTTGTAAGTAAAGATGAGAAGACCGAGTCGAGCTGTGGAGCCTCAGATACGCTCAGATGATTGACCGCTCTGTTCGTCAGAGCATGATGACTAATTATCAGTTCCTCAGGTCCGGTCTCCAAGCTGACCACGGCGCACTGAGCCTGGAGCTCCGGCTGCGAGTGAGGGTCCATCAGCTTGGTGTGAAGCGTCAGACGGAAACTGGGCTTGTACTCGCACTCCTTGTCGCCTATCTTTATGTAGATGCAGCGGATTAGAAACTAGAATCCTATAATTAATCATCAAAGGAGAATAATCTCACTGTTTAATAGCATAATTCGTTGCGCAAAACTACATTACCCATGATGCAGTACAGAAAATTCCACCAATCAGAGAGTTGCAGTGAGCAAAAAGCTCTTTAGCTCCGCCCACTCCCACTTAAATTTGTACATGGATATACATTTCTGGGGGGAAAAAAATGCTTCAAATCAGAGTCTGTAATGTTGTGACTCTCCTCGTAGCTGGTTGGTTTGGTTCATGGCTTATTAAAAATCCCCATGAGAAAAACAATTACTCCCAGCCCAGACAATGGTTTTAATGAAGAACTGCTTCAGGCAGAGCTGGCGCCGCTGCACGTGCTTGTTTGTGTGATTTGCTGCTGATTCAGTACTGCTGCACGCCTGAACGGACAGCATAAATGACTTATTCTGGGGGTTTGCCGCATTTTAATTATTGCTCAGATTTGTTTCTGTTTCGCTGGCTCATCTATTTGTTTCTTAATTAAGACAGGAGGCAAGTCAGCTTCGCCAAGTCGCTGTCAGGAGAAGAACACAGACAGAGGATCTTATAAGAAAAACAGGGGTACTGAAGTTTTAATCACAAGTTACTTGGAAAAAAATTAACTTACATCTGCAAAGACTAAACTCAGGGGGAAACTCGGGTAAAGACGAGGAAGAGACATTTGTTAAAATCGCAGGACTTTAGCGGTGGATACTGTACATGTAAAGCCAAATTACTGTTCAGAACAGTTTAGGAGAGAAAAGCTTGCAGTTTGGCACCACATTTAACCAATCAGACTGATCTGTAGTTGATGCATGTCTGAGTTATTCAGAATCCTGCCAAAGGGAATTTAGAAGTATACTATAGAAATATAGAAATATGCAATATAGAATATAAATAAGGTGTAAATAATGAAACAAAAGAAAGATCATATAAGAATGAATGAATGAATGAATGGGGAATTGATTTTTATCTACATCAATATTTTAGGTAAAAAATTACATACAAATGCACATTTTAGATCATGTTTCTTTTAAGTTTGTCTACACTTTCCACCTTTTGCCTTCAATAATTAATTTTAAATAGAACCGTGGTGTGACAAATTAATTTTAAGTAAGTAAACTTAATGTAATATAAAACCGCAGTTAATATGAGGCCATTAAAGCTGTATGCATGATAATCAGGTTTGACTTGTGTTTGTAGCTGCTTCTTCTGCTTAAGTTCTCCAGAGAGATCAGAACAGAGAGCAACGTTTAAAACTCTACTTACATTGATTTTTGCCTTGATGCCGGAGAGTTTCTCCTGCGCGGAGGCGAGTTCTGCCTTGGCTTTGCTCAGGGCTTGTCTCTTAGGCTCGACCTCGCAGTAGACCTCATAAAACTTGACGATGTTGATGACCCAGGAGCAGGGACAAGCTATACTTTCAGTCAGCAAGCCTTCTAATGATATGCATTATACATGTTTTATATATTATATAATGCACACGTGCGGTGAAACGGGACCTTGTTGAGAGTGTTCAGAGCCTCTTGTGCCGCTACGAGCGCAGGTTCGGCTTTAGCCAGGTCCTCCTCACAGTCTCTCTGTTTGAGCATCACCTCCTCAGTGATGCAGCCACCTTCTGCTCCTCTCCACACCCACCGCCTGGATCAGTTTGCCTGCGCTCTTGTTCTTCAGCTTCAGAGCCACTTCCTTCAGATCGTCCACCTAAAAGACAGAAAAACACAATGCTGAGCATCGGAATGAGATGCATACATCAACAGTGTGTGTGTTAAAAAAAACGTGCACACGCACACGCACACAGACACAGACACACGCACACGCACACGCACACTCGCACACGCACACGCACACAAACACACACACACACACACACACACACACCACCTCCAGCTGTTTCCCTGTCTACGGCCCACCTGCCCTCTAGATCAGATAGCGTTTCCTGTGAGACAGAGAATGGAGATGTGGATCTGAGGGTACAGAGCACCACAACATAACGTCCCTGACATAAACAAGCAAAATAATACTAATTAAACTAAAGATTGTTCATGACAACTAATGCAGTAACTATGTATAAAGTGGCATCAAAATATAATATGTGCCATATTTATTATTCCCTGTTAAAGTTTGTTGAGGAAGCTCACGGTTATCAGCTAATTGCATCAGCAGTTGTTCTGAATAACAAGCTATTTGTTTTTGTTCTAGACTCATTGCTAAATCTCATTAGTGATATTATCAGAGAAATGAGCGCTCAAAGTTTTAATTGATAAAAGACAATCACTCGATTGTGAAGAAGCACAGTTCACTGAGATAGGACGGATGAACTATTTCTGTTGTCATTCGTCACAATACGTTGAGCTGCTGGCACTTACTCGAACAGAGTCCGATTGGGAAAAGCCAATCAGGAGAGAAATACGCAATTAGCTGTAAACCACTGTCAGACGCAATCCCATGCAACATGATGCAGCTTGTGAAGCAAACAAACAAACAGTCGAATACGGCTCTTCTACAGCGATCCCGAACTCCTCTGCAATCTGCTTCCTTTCTCCAGCCTCCAAACGAGCTGATTAGCCTTAAGAAGACGAGGCGTCAGGGATGCCCTCGGGTAGCGAAAGCCTACAATACCCACAAAATCAAGTTGCTATCATGTGGGTAATTAAGCTTATGAATAGGAGGTAAAGACGACGGAGGACTAATTGGCCAGAAAGCAGGTTTCTCTGCTCCTCAAACTACATGAAGCGCCTGTAATGATCCTCTTCATTCAGAGAGAGCAGATCATCCTCACAGGTTCACATCAAAGAGCACAAGTCTAATATCACATTGTTAAAATATCATAAATCATCTTAAAAGAGCTCTTAGATAACAGTAGACTGAGTCCAATGTACAGGCGCTGCTGCTCTCATGAAGCTGGACTGATCTCCATCATCATCATCATCATAAACATGCTTACTTTGAGCGAAGAAAAACGACACAGATTCTGATTTAGATAAGAAACGCTTAACGAGAGGCAATAAAACGAAGAAAACCACCTCTACGCCCCCAAATGTGGGCAGGGACCAACCAGCTTGAATGGATATCCGCTCTCTGCTAATTACATGTTACGGGTCCCACCTCAATAACGCAATAAACTTTCTGCCTCATTAGCAGCTACGTTTCATTTTGATTTCGTTTCTCATCGCTGATGTAAAGAGGTTATTCTGGGGAGCGTCCATCTCTACCGGCACAATCGGATATATATCTCGCAGATTTACATTCCACCTCTCGTCGCTAGCAAGCACAATCTCAGTGCACAAATGAGCTTTCTGATAGCTTTCCTGTTTGAGGGTGAAGCGCTGAGGCCATTCCCCGAGCGGAGCACTTGAGCGGGACTGACGCGTTACATCAGGCATGATGATTAGCACAGTCCAGCTGAGAACACAGTCATGGCTAATGAGGAGATCTGCTGAAGAACATGAGAACGATGTCACTCATGTAAGGTCGTGGCACTGCTAGCTGGTTGTCCTGCATCTTCAATAAACAAGCTACAGGGAACACCTGAGAAGAGATGATGCCAACCCCTCAGAGGACCTCAGATGATGCCAACCCTGAAACAACATACAGAACTACCATATTTTGTTCGGTCTTTTCGGCGCACAAAGTTATTTAATTTAAGTTAAACTCTAATCTGACTACATTTTATTACGAACTCAAATTTAAGGCTGAAATGCCAATCGGTTGTTTGTTCATTTATAATTATTATTATTATTATTATTATTATTATTATTCAGATATTTGATTATTCTTTTTCGCTCTTTAATCGTATTGAATCTCATTAATCTCATTTCTATAACACTTTGAGTCTTGTACCGGCCCGTGTACGGATCTCATATTCACAAACTCGTCAGTCTTGGTCATTAGACAGAGGCGACTGACTAATATTCTGGATGGCTCGTGCAATACTTAGCTCATCCAAGAATACTTTTATTAGTCCCCATAGATCTGTAAACACTTAATTAAGGTAAGACTATATCTAACCAAAGGTCATGACCATTACTATAGAACCAAGTTGACCAACTTAACTTCTTGTAAGTAACTTTATATAATCATGCCGTGATTTCTCACGAACACTTAGTTAGAATAATGTTACAATAATCAGAGGTTGAGGCTGACACGAATTTAGGTTGGTCAACAACACACTGTTGTTCTAAACGGAAAAACCCAATAGCCTCTATAGTCTAAGTATACATAACTAATCCCAATGTGTTAGCCGGAGCTCTGAAACATCATTTTAGTCTGTTGCTAACCTGAGTGCAGATTTGCGGTGTTATATGTTATAGACTTAACAAAATCAATAATAATTAAGTCAATAATCTCAGAGTAAGTCAGAATAAATTCAAATGTAACAATTATCAGTCAGGTAAATATGTATTATGCCAATTACATAGTCAATTCAGAATATCAAATCAATTCAAATCAATACAAAACATCAAATTCTCAAAGATAAATCTAAGAGTAAGAAATGCATACCTTACTTTAGAAAGATACATAGTGTGGAGTGTAGAGACACACAGCTACGGGCTTCTGGCTACAGAAGCGTCCCGATCCTTCTGCCACATTTCCTTAAGTAACCTCAGATCAAGACACACATCCTCCAAAATGGAGACAGCAACTAACAATCTGAATTTGTATTGATCAAGGCGAATTAACACCTTTTGGGACAGAAGGTAATTTGCATGAAAGGCACTGTATTACCTTTTTATGGCTGTCTGTCCTATTGTTAAGAGAATGGGACCTCTTTACCAGACACACAGAGACCTTTCAAACGACATCAACCATGAGTTATAAACTCTGATTAAGAATAGTGGTTTCGGTGGAGGGGGGAGTGAGTAAATGAACTGGATGGTGAGAAGTAAATTTACTCACATCTTCTCTAAGTGAGATGTGGAAACAGATGTCTGTATTTGAATACACTATGTGTGTATTGTCCGTCTCAGAAGATCAAAGTGTCTGAGGTTCTATAATTCTTACAAGAGGAATTATTCTTCACTATTATTTTCTTCTTCTTTTTTTTTTTTTAACTTAAAACGGTTCTTAATATACTGTATTCCTAGAAAGAATTCACAAGATTCTTATTGTTTTACTTAAGGTTGTAAAAAAAAATTCTTTATAAGTTAGGATAGCTTCAAACATGACTTAAATGCTAATAGATATTATTTGTTTATTTATTTAAATATTACACTATAATAGTAGCTACGCATAATACAAGTTTTTTTTTTTCTTAATTGGTGAATGTTATTAACCCTCATGTTGTGTTCCGATCATTTTGACCTGGAGAGGATTTTCTTTTTCCTGAAAAAAACATACGGACTTTGCTTCCTAAAAAACTTTCTTGATAATTTTTGTACTTTTGGGGATTTTTTCCCCCCTACCCTGTTACACTTGTGCTGCTCCGTCCGACCTACAACACATGACTCATAAATCAGCACAGGCTTTGTGTTTCTTTCTGGAACTGATTGCTCACTGTTCTGAGCTCATGCTCCTCAGTTTTTACATGAATATTGACAAAATAATCCATAAAAAATTTTTTTTCCCCCCTCAAAAACTGAGGTGTATTGAGGCCTGTGATCAATCAGCTCCAAAAAGAAACACAAATCCTGTGCTAACTGAAAGAAACGAGCTGAAATCTGCTGCACTCCGGGTTACAGGATCAAATCCTCAACAGAAATTATGAGCAACTGTAGCAGTGATGCTCAGCTTACAAGCTACAATTACCACAAAAACCACACGCCTGAAAAGAATGGCATTTTCCTAACGCGGTGATCACAGATCAACAGAAGCAGTCGGCTGGCGGAGCGGGTGATGTTTTTGACAGACCTGCTGTCAGGAGAACGACAGGAACACTTCAAGCTCACGCTCGCATTTAAAACACTGAACCGCATCAGACTCCTACTGGTTCCTTAGGAGAGGCGCATGTTTCATTTACATTCAAGAGGACCTATTAATGTGTGCTGACCGCTCAAAACATAAATTAGCTAATGCTACATGAATTTATGGCATGCAAATGAACCTTATAGCAGAGCTGCAAGCAATGCTTTTAATGCTCATCCTGCTTTCTCTTCTGGAAAATAATTATTATTAAGCCTTTCACCTACACCATTATTATGTAAAATAATAATAATAACAGTAATAATAAATAAAAGTGTTTAATTTTTTTTAAAGAAAAGCAGTGAAAGAAGGTCTTGAACCATCATAAAAGCCAGTGAGTCATTAGATATTTATCTTGTCATTTATTATGCTATGCTGAGCGAGTAACTCTGGGTTTATAATGATTTTGAACAGGCACATGAAGAGACGCTGCTGAGCTTCTCCAAGCCGTTTTCCAGTCGCTCCTCATGAGTGCCAGCAGGTTCCCGTACAGCTTGATCTGCTCCAGAAGGACTTGGTGTAGTTGTAGCGCCGCTCGTTGGCCAGGTCGTACTTTGAGGTCTTGTTCATGCTCACGTGTACGTAGGCCATGAATTTACTCACCGAGTCCTTCACCTCTGGCTAAATCAGTGGAAAAATGCAGTTCATACATGAAATATAATGACCAGATTATTGCCAGAAATGTCATACTACTGGGCCGTCACAGCCGTTTGATTTTCCCCTGAAATATAATGCAGAAACTGACTGCACAGTGCTCGGCCAATCGGATTATGTTCTTCATGACTTCAGGCACCTCAAACTCTCACACAAAATCACACTCTGCGTTTGCGCTTGAATGCGTTAGATGGCGTTGAGACTGCGGTGAGAGAGGTGTGAGAGCTTTGAACTGGATCTCAGGAATCGTGACAGAATCCATTCTTCTGAGCTGATGTGTTGGAGCAGGATGGATGTGCTACACGTCCTGCAGGAACCGCAGGCTGACCGAATGGTAACAAGCTGACACAGTATAAAGAGCAATTTAAGGTAAAACTCTAAACCTGACTCAGGGGTGACTGTTAAAAGGTCTTTAAAAGCGTTTGTGGAGTGGTCTTGAGTTTAAAAAGCGAGCACAGATGTCTCGAGACGTGACTTTAAACTGTTCAACTGTTTCTAATACGTTAAACGCATGCTGCAATAGAGCACAACAGTCTGTCGTGGAAGAAAAACTCCTTTCATTTTCTCCACAGGGAAACTGATTTTTTAAAGAGATAGACCTGTTGGGAGCTCTCTGGCTGTTAATCAATTGTATATGCTGTTGTTGTATCTGTTCGTGTTAATTCACTTATTTTTTTAAATAATTGTGGTGAAAAACTACGTTACCCATGATGCTGTAAAGAAAATCCCACCAATCAGAGAGTCGCGGCAACAGAGCTCTTTAGCTCTGCCCACTCCCATGAAGCACCACAAATGATGTAATCAAGTTAGTACGTAAACATTTGTATATATATATATATATATACATAATTTTGCAATAAACAAATATATTGTTTCTATAGATACAACCAACAACTTTAAATGAATATATATATGTTTTATATTTCGCTATCATTTTAATTTGCAATGCTTCATGGGATTGTAATTCTTTCTCTCACTGAAGCTGTTCAGTTCACAGTCTTGTATCCAGTTTTCAAAAACTTTTTTTGCTTCAAATCAGAGTCTGTACTGTTGTGATTCTCCTCGTAGCTGGTTGGTTTGGTTCGGTTCATGGCTTATAACACTTTAACAAAAACCTTTTTAAAATCCCTGGGGGAAAATCAAATAGGAAAAATACTTCCAGAACCAGAAAGTGGACGGCACTGATGCAGTCTATTGGCAAAAAAATGGTCCAAGTCAACAGTGCATCATGTTTACATAGAAAAACAATTCAAAAACAGTGTGGAAGCGGGTACTGTACTCACTACCAAAGTCCCTGTGAGACAGTCATGTCACGCGGCGGCCGTCTTTCAAACGCCTCATGCAAGTGCAGCTCCTGTCTCTTTGAATGGGGAGACATCGAATTCCCAAAAACTGTCTGCCAAGCTTACGATTAAATTTCATCTTTGAAATCACCAATGAAATCTGACAACAAGTGTCTCAGAAATGTTGTTTCTTATGCTCCAATAGCGTTAAAAACAGCTTATTTTTCAGGCTAGAGTGCATGCGCAGTCCTAGCGCACGTCTGACTGTTTCTATAGCAACCGCAGCTTCTGACGGCAGCTACAGCGACACGATGACTTTACCGATTAGTGATTGGCTCTTTTATTGAGAAGGCGGGACTACTCCGCCATATTGCGTGTTACCTGCTCTCCCATTCAGAAGTAACAGGAGTGCAGTGTGTTGGGTATATCTACATTCTGTCACTACTGACACTCCACACATCAACACAGCTTCTGTGTTTGTGTAGCTCGAGTATCACTGCAGTGTTTCTCACTCTAATCTTTCTCTCAGGCTTCATGAATCACTCCTGCTCACGCACTTTGAGCTGTCTACAGACACGGTCGATGAAGAACTTCCAGCAGTTCTCCCTGGTGTCCATCAGACCCTGGCCACGCACTTCAATCCTTAAAGAACCTATGATGTTCTTCATCTCGTCGTCAGGGAACAGGTCTGGGATTTCACCTGTGAGCTCTCATCCTGGAACGGCCACCAGATGAAACACAATACAGGCATGAAGGCTGACGAGCTCTGCAATCTCATATTGAGCTCAAGAGCTCCTCTGGTCGTTGCTAATTATTGCATTATTTTTCAGACTTTTGCAGGGCCAAGTGTGAGGCGTGGAGCTTTCTCAGGAATATTCGTCAGGGCAAATAACAGCCGGTTTCAGTGGAGCTTCAGAGTGATTCGGAGCAATGGAAGCATGGTTTGTTTTGGTTCCGGCTAATAAACGGAGCGAACCTTGAGATCAGGGATGACGTATCCTTTCTTCAGCGTGATCTGAAAGACCTCCAGGGAGCTGATGAACGCCGCCAGCCTGGTCACCAGACTCCAGGATCCGGTTGATCTGAAGCAGGAGAGACGAGGGTCAGAAGATCAAACAGAGTCATGCAGAGGAAGAATCAAACCTCATTCTGCTGAGTAATGCCTGAAAAATCAACCACTGCCAGTATTCATTATATAGTGTGTTCAAAGCTGATTAATACATAGCAGGACAATTAATTGACAGCAAACTTCACTGAAAATAAACACTGACTTCACTCAACTCACTAAAAACCTGAAAGCGGATTTGTTTCTTATTAATTCACAATGCTGTCAGAAGAGTTTGGAATCGGCACAAAAGCCACATGACACCAGTGATGGATGAGCAAAACTGCATGTGCATAATTGAAAAATCAATTAGCTGGTGGGTTGCTTGTCAATTAATTGGTTTCAGGTTAGGTTAGTTTTTTTCTTTTCTTTTATAATTTTCTTTTATTTATTTTTTGCCATTTTTTTATTTTATTTATTATTTTATTTTTTACATTTTTTTAATTGTATTTTTTAAATAAATATTTTTCTTTATTATCTTTATTATAAATCATAAATGATATCATTCTAAATTGCATTCATAAATTGACGGCAGTAAACGTGATATGAAGTTTCAGAAACGCTCTGCTAGTGGCAGACGCTCAAACACATCACAGGACACGCCATAGAGATCCATAATGCATTTTGGTGTGCGTTAAAAATACAAATTTATAGATTTTTGATAACTTCAGATAACTTGATATGAAACTTGCTAACTTTTCTCAGGGCTTTAGCATGTTCAGCTATCTAGTCCACTATCCTAACTATCCTAACCGACCCCCAACTGTTTTCTGGTATAAGCTGCACAGTCTAAAGCGATCATCCATCAGCAGAGGCTCTTCCTGGCTCTCTTACATATGAGACATGGCATCCTCGAACAGAACAAGGTTCAGAGCCGCACTGACTTTGTTATAGCCGTCAAGAGCTTCCTGCAGGGTCTTGTTCAGGCTCGCACAGGACTGAACCGCCATGTATTTGGGTTCACTGATGCCCGAGGCGAAGTGGCAGTACATATTCATGGCCCTGGTCTCCTCCAGGGTCTCCTCCATATCCTGCTGGGAATAAAAAGCAACCTTAAAACTTCATGAAATATTAAAAGCTGAATAACTAACGCTGAGTGCTGCTGCCTTGGGAAGGAGCTCACGTAAATCAAATGATCGCCACTCTGAGAATTCATGACGGTCAGAGACCTTTCCCTCTCCAAACCCAAAAGAAACAGCTGTATTTCATTTGTTGCTCGTTACGCAGACACGCGTGTGTGTGTGTGTGTGTGAGTGAGTGAGTGAGTGAGTGAGTGAGTGAGTGAGTGAGTGAGTGAGTGAGTGAGTGAGTGAGTGAGTGAGTGAGTGAGTGAGTGAGTGAGTGAGTGAGTGAGTGAGTGAGTGAGTGAGTGAGTGAGTGAGTGAGTGAGTGAGTGAGTGAGTGAGTGAGTGAGTGAGTGAGTGAGTGAGTGAGTGAGTGAGTGAGTGAGTGAGTGAGTGAGTGAGTGAGTGAGTGAGTGAGTGAGTGAGTGAGTGAGTGAGTGAGTGAGTGAGTGAGTGAGTGAGTGAGTGAGTGAGTGAGTGAGTGAGTGAGTGAGTGAGTGAGTGAGTGAGTGAGTGAGTGAGTGAGTGAGTGAGTGAGTGAGTGAGTGAGTGAGTGAGTGAGTGAGTGAGTGAGTGAGTGAGTGAGTGAGTGAGTGAGTGAGTGAGTGAGTGAGTGAGTGAGTGAGTGAGTGAGTGAGTGAGTGAGTGAGTGAGTGAGTGAGTGAGTGAGTGAGTGAGTGAGTGAGTGAGTGAGTGAGTGAGTGAGTGAGTGAGTGAGTGAGTGAGTGAGTGAGTGAGTGAGTGAGTGAGTGAGTGAGTGAGTGAGTGAGTGAGTGAGTGAGTGAGTGAGTGAGTGAGTGAGTGAGTGAGTGAGTGAGTGAGTGAGTGAGTGAGTGAGTGAGTGAGTGAGTGAGTGAGTGAGTGAGTGAGTGAGTGAGTGAGTGTGTGAGTGTGAGAGTGTGAGTGTGTGTGTGTGTATTTGTGTGTGTGTGTGTGTGTGTGTGTTGTGTGTGTATGTGTGTGTGATGAGTGTACTGGCTTATATATCCTGGTGGGGACTTAAACCTGGTTTATATATCCCTGGTGGGGAGTGAGTGAGTGTGCATGATTAGATGGTGTGCTTTAAAGGCGAGCAGTGGTAAAGAAGGGAAGCTCTATTTCTCTCCTTCACTTTTCTCCAGAGCGTTGGCTCATAAGCCTCAGGAGGAGCAGAGCCGTGGAGAGAAAAGCAGCAGAGCTCATTTTTCCCCAATGTACTGGACTGGCAGGGTTTTGCTCTGATTAGCTCTTGCGTTTAATGACTCTCCAGTCAAACAAACTCTCACCTCGTAGAACTTTTTCACCGTGTCTGTCTGCAGCTTGTCCAAAGATGGTGAAGTCTCGGGCCTCCACCATCGTGTCACGGTAAACGTGGTTGGACTCGTGAAGGTAGATCTTCACCAGGTGCTGAGGAGTCCGGCGGGTTGGGCGATGTCTACAGTGAAACATCGCGATGGACAATGACATCGGCGAGTGGGGGGAGGG